AAAGGAAAAGAAAGAAGGAAGGAAGGAAGGAAGGAAGGAAGGAAGGAAGGAAGGAAGGAAGGAAGAAAGAAAGAAAGAAAGAAAGAAAGAAAGAAAGAAAGAAAGAAAGAAAGAAAGAAAGAAAAGAAAAAAAGAAAGAAAGGAAGATGGAAAAAGGAAAGGAAGAAAGAAAAGGAGGGAGGGAGGAAGGGGAAGGGGGAAGAAAGGAAAAGACACTTCCATGTCTGTCTTATAAAATGGCAAGCAATTTAATGTAAAACCTTAGTTTTCCGGGAAAATTACCTTAGAAGCTATTTTATTCTTAAAAAGGGAAAAGAAATACAAATAATAATGATGATGATAAGAGAAACTGTTTTCTCTGTGGATGGCCCACTGGGTGACATCAGAACTCCCACAACACAGAAAGGGCTGGTCCAAGTGAACCAAAGTCTCCTGTGCACCACCCCTTCCTTGCACGGACCCCACAGTCCCAAATTCAACCCTATCATCATTTGCTCAAGAATGAAAGTTCATGGGGGGAACCAGGACTGTTTCATCTCTGTTTTCACAGGACCCTATGAAATGGAAAGAATCCCTTCCCCTCCCAGTTGGCCTCTTCACCACAGAACCAGGAAACTGGAGTGCCCCCAACCTGGGCACCTGCTCTGGAGCATCCTACAGGGGAATAGTTACAACACGCCAGACTGTCAAACTGCTGTCAGCCACCTGAGATCCAGGGCACAGGGGGAAGAGTTGGGAGTCCAGGCAGACCAGTGCATGACAGAGAGCACAGCAACAAACAGGACATGGGAAAATGCACGTGGATGAGATGTGGTTGCAGAGAGCAAGGTGCATGTGGGACCGAGGTGCAGGGGAGAGAGTCGCAGGCTCTAAAGGCACATGAGGGTCAAAAGGTGCAGTGGGGATGAAATACACTGCAGAGCTTAGGGGCATGCAAGGGGGCAGAGCGTACAAGCAAGAGTCTGGGAAACACAGGGTGGCGGAAGCATATGGGTGCCGGTGTCATGGCAGGCAAGGCTGTAAGGGGAGGAGCCAGAGTCCATGCCGGAAGAGAGGGCACAGCTGGGTAGATGCACTGCAGACAATATTCAGGAAAGGGCTAAAGAAGAGAGGGGGACAATGGGTGGGGGTGGTCCATGCACAAGAAGAGGATGCAGAGAGGAAACAGACACGGTAGACAACACCATCGAGGAGAGAGTCCACCAGTGGGCATCAGTGGACCAAAGGACCCAGGAAAGGGGCTGGGATTACAGGCCTAGGGAGCAAAGCACCACAGTTAAGAATGGCGGGGGGCAATGGGGGCAAGCTCAACCCCTGAGGGCTGTCAATATAAAGGACACAATGGTTACGCTGCCGTCACTGAAATGGGGATCAGGGATCGGATACAGGGAGGGGAAGATGGGTGGCATGGAGTTGAAGGAAGGGAAGTTCGGGACGGATGACAGAATTCTTAGCAGGGTAGACCTCAAAAGGGCACAGGCTGGAGGCGGTGTGGCAGGATGGATGTCCAGAAAGACTGGGTGGAGAGGATGGGGCAGGCAGAAGTCAAGGAGACGAGGAAAGACGGGATGAAGGACATGGGACCCATCACATTCACCCAACTGATGGGTGGAGTTCTGAGGTTGCAGGGTAACGGAGGTATGAGATGAGGGGATGGGTGCAAGTCACAACAGAACTCACTGATTCATTCCCCACTCAGTTTCCCCACTTATATTTATCTCCATTTATTATTGGATTTTTAATTTCAGCTTATGAGACAAAAATCTTATGTATACAAAATACTCCTAAAGACTCCTTAATCTGAGTATACAGCATAGGGCTGCAAGTAGAATTTGGGGGAATGACACAGCCTTCTCTCTCTTCTTTGGGGATGCCAGATAGCGTGACCACGGTGGGTCTGGCAGAACATGTTTATAGGTACTTGATGCTTAGTGATGGGAATAAGTATCTGTGCTTTCTCCAAGCCCTGCTTATGCCTTGAATTTGTATGCCCTAGACCTGATACGATGAAAATCCTTACATTTATTGTGGCGATTCTAAAACATAACACATGCTTTAAGAAAATAAAACATAGCCACACACAGCACATTTTAACTCTTCTCTTTTTCCTTGCTTTTCCCTTATAAGAAGCTATCCCAGGAGGTCACCATTAGTAGTACTTCTGCGGATATATTGTAATATTTTAAAATATTTTTGCTTGTAAACAATTACATGCATGTTTTATTATAAAATATTTAAGGAATAAAAGTCCCCATTAATTACCCTTTGCCCAATACCAGTTTGATCTGCAAACGGACCAACTTTCACTGCTTTGAGAGTTATTCCCCTTTTTTTAATGCAATTTGGGATGTCTACCTGCTAACATAGATGAACATATTCTGTACTTATATCAATATTTATGTACATATTGTCACACTGGGCTTACTCCCCAATCAAACTGCTCTCCTCATTTACAGAGTGGAATCTTTAGACATAATTTGAAGGTGTATTTATCATGGTAGGATATCTCCCACTTATATTAAAGGCAAAGATATGGGTAGGTTAATATCTACTTCAGGTGGGTTTGCAGTTGCCAATAACGTGGAAAATACAAATGACCAACAGGGAACAAGTTCAAGAAACCTTAGTACATCCTGGTACTACAACAATACTATAAATCCTTATAAAGCTGAGAGGATTCATTAAGTCCTCGGACAGGTAGGCTGAGCATCCCCAGAAAGAGTGAGCCAAGCGGAGGTGGGGGACACTACTTTTGTGATCTTTAGAATAGGAAAAAATTTCTTTTTTTTTTTTAAGATTTTATTTATTTATTAATTTATTGATTTGAGAGAGAAAGAGAAACAGCATGAGAGGGGAGAGGGCCAGGGGGAGAAGCAGGCTCCCTGCTGAGCTGGGAGCCCAATGTGGGACTCGATCCCAGGATTCCGGGATCATGACCTGAGCCAAAGGCAGTCGCTTAACCAACTGAGCCACCCAGGTACCCAAAAGATTTCTTTACAAGAACAAAATGCCATGAGGGGCCTGGTGGCTCAGTTGGTTAAATATTTGCCTTCGGCTCAGGTCATGATCCCAGGGTCCTGGGACCGAGCCCTGCATTGAGCTCCCCCACTGAGCAGGGAGCCTGCTTCTCCCTCTCCCCCTCCCCCTGCTTGTGCACACAAACACACTCTCTCTCTCAAATAAACAAATAAAATCTTTTTTAAAAAAAGAACAAACACCTCAACTAGAAAGGAGGAAATGACAAATTGGTTGAAAATTAAGAGTTTGTCCTCATCAAAAGGCACCTAGATAGATAGATACATGGATGGATGGATGGATGGATGGATGGTAGATAGATAGCTAGCTAGCTAGCTAGCTAGCTAGCTAGCTAGCTAGCTAGATAGTTAGATCCAGCACCAAGAATATAGTCTACATGTATAAATATCTCCTGTACATCAATAAGAGAAAGATAGGCAACACAACTGAAAAAAATGGGTAAAATAAGCCAACGAACACTCAAAAAAAGGATTTACTTGATGGCCAATAAATACGTGAAAAGATGTTCAAGTTCCTTTCTCATCAAGAAAATGGAAATAAAGTCACTGCCTGGTACCATCACACAACAACCAGAATGCTAAACCAAAAATGACAGAAAATACCAACTGTCAACAGGGATGCAACTAAACTAAGAATCTCACCAACAGTCGTTGGTATAAAATTCATACACACACTTTGGGAGACTGTTTGGCTGTGACCCAGCAGTATCACTCCTACGTATACATCTGAAAAAATTCCCTGTACATCTCATTACACTCTATAATTTACATATCAGCATCATTCTAATAACGCCAAGTAGAAAATCACTCCCATGTGCTTCATTAACACAGCGGCTAAATTGTTTGATTTTCACACAATGAGATCCAATCAGCGGTGCCAAGAGATGATCAATAACAACATGCAAGAATACCAATAAAATCACAAATGCATGGAATTGAACCATGAAAATACAAAAGGGTTCATGCTACAGGATTCCATTTGTATCAAGGACAAACGAGGTAGGAGATTTAGATGTTAGATGTCCCGAGGGTGACCCTTGAAGATCGTGACTGGGAGAGGCCATGAGGAGGAGGTTTCCCCCAGGCAGGCAGTGTTCTCTCGCACAGAGGTGTGTTCACTTGCGAAACATCACAGAGCTGACCACTTAGGACCTTTGCATGTACATTCATCTTTAAAATACAGATCAGCAATAAGGAAGTTGTGAGGATATGCATAGACTGGTGTCATTGCTCCCTGACATTAATAAATGGAGATAAATATAAATGGGGAAACTGAGTAGGGAATGAATTAGTGAGTCCCTGACATTGTCATGGTAGAAGCTAAAAGCATCCAATAATGTCACACGTTACTTTCTTAGAGTATGCTGCGATACCTAGGTTAAAAACCAAGAGATACTTAACACTGTATGTTAACTACTTGGGATTAAAATTTTAAAAACCTAAGAGATACTGAAAATGCAACCTCCAAAAAAGGGGGGAAGCACAAGAATTTTAAAAATGAACACAGAAGACAACAGAGAAATTAGAACAGGTGTCAGGAAGAGCACACAGTAAATCAATAAATCCGATCCCAAATATATTCATCATTATTTTCAACACATACAATTATTCCTTTTAAAGCCAAACTTTGACCATACTTGATTTTTTTTCCCAAGAGACACAGTTAAAATAGAAGAATTAAGGTAGAAAAATGGATGACACATTCCATGTAATTTTTTTTAAAGATTTTACTTGACAGAGAGACACAGCGAGAGAGGGAACACAAGCAGGGGGAGTGGGAGAGGGAGAAGCAGGCTTCCTGCTGAGCAGGGAGCCCCAATGTGGGGCTCGATCCCAGGACCCTGGGTTCATGGCCCGAGCCGAAGGCAGATGCTCAGCCGAGCCACGCAGGCGCCCCAAGATGCCATTGCTTTGTTAATTTGTTATTCCTTATCCAGGCAAAGCTGAGTCTGGACATACTGGAGTCACCTGTGTTTAAGAGCACACAGGGGCTGAGAGTAGGAAAACACATAGCAAAGAATGCAGACATGCTCACCAGCGTCTGACTGGTGTGATTTAGAAAAGCCAGACAAAGTTGACAAATGGAGGAGAGGGTATAAAAAAATACAAAGGTGCTCACCAGGATAAGGGTGTTCTGGATGGCTCTGGACTCTGTGGAGGACCCGGCGGAGACACCGGTCGTGTGAATGTATCGGACCCACTGTTTGTGCCTGTATAGATGAAAACCATGGAGCCACTGGCCCAGAGCATGAGCCCCAAGGATAAAACATCAGTGAATGATAGCCATGCTGTAAACAGTGAGGCTGTGAGTTTATGGTAAAATACTGCACAACAGTGTCCAAAAACACTTTTCCTCGTGATGTTTGCATTGATCCATTTGCCAGTCACAGAAAGAGGAAAAATGGTATTCATCAGTATGTTCAGGATCCAGCACAGGGTGGTGGATTGGACAGTGTACTTGGGAGGTTTCCTTTTAAGCGCTGCCCACCTGGAGTTCTGGGGGCTGATCATGATGACCTGGAAGACACTCAGGAGGCAGGTGCTCTCCATGGACACACCCCTGGCCACTCTTTGAACAAAGAAAAGCAGCTTGCATCTAAAATCATGGGGGAAATGTCTCAACCCAAAAGCTGCCATCGTCTGGGAGACTCCGTTAGAGAGAATGACCAAGGAGTTGGCTATAGTCAGGTGCCTGAGAATCAGATCTGTGTACCTTGCCTTGCACCCAGCAAAGTGAAGGAGGAGATAATGGCGAAGAAGAGAGAAATTCCCCAGGACTCCAAGCACAGTCTGTGATAAGAAGATCATGCCTACTGCCAGATCCCTCCTGGTCACCCTGTCTGTTCTCAGTGACTAATGCTCGTCTTCAACGCCACTGGATCCTGTGTGGGAACGGGGACAGGAAATGCATTCAGAATGTCAACTGAATCCCAATATTCTCCATTTACTAGATTCGTTGTATCTTAGATATTTCTAAGTTAAGGTCTTTTATTAAGAGATTTTTCAAGAGTTAAATATACAACCTTCAGAGAAAACAGAACATACAGATCACCGTTATGAAGAGCATATACATGGTAATCTCTGATTCTCCACAAGGTTATGAGGCACACTACTGTCACCTTAATTACAAAGAGAAGGCAATTACAGAGTTCAGGCAAATAGAAGTTAAGTGACTTGTCTAAATCCCTATGCTGGTTAGGGGCAGAGCGGGACTTGAAAATGCCTGGTGCTACCAACAAAAACAGCGCCTTGAACCACCAAGCCACACTAAAAAGGTTGTTAGTGAAAACTAACAATCCAGATATATCTTTAGTCCCAGAACATTTGGTTTTGGATTGGTGGTAACATAATTTTGATCTTAACAAGTTTCCATTTAGGGGCGCCTGGGTGGCTCAGTTGGTTGGGCGACTGCTTTCGGCTCAGGTCATGATCCCAGCTGGGATCAAGCCCCGCATCGGGCTCCCTGCTCCGCGGGAAGCCTGCTTCTCCCTCTCCCACTCCCCCTGCTTGTGTTCCCTCTCTCGCTGTCCCTCCTCTGTCAAATAAATAAATAAAATCTTTAAAAAAAAAAAAAAACAAGTTTCCATTTATACATATAAATTTACCCTATAGTCAAGGTCAATTATGAATGAAGATTTAGAAATCTTAATGAACGCAGATGTACGGATTGCAGTTTAATACCACAGGAGCCCGCCCCATGATGAGCAGACTTAATGAAGGGAAGAATGGCTTGATATAAGGCAGGCAAAAAAAAAAAAAAAAAGAAAAAGAAAAGAAAAAGGATTTGTTTGCTTTTATGCCAGGAACACAAACACAATGTCACCTATTGCAGGATACTTTGAAAAAAACTCATGCCGCACCCTAAATTATAGGACAGGAAACAACACGGTATGGTAAATAGTGTAGGCCAAAAAAACTAAATTATTATTCTTTTCAGATCATATACTTGACTTATTAATGCCAAGTTCACAAAATTACTAGCAATGATGCATGGTTTTTGAAAAATATTAAAATGTAAGGGACATATGTACAAAATTCAATCTCTAGGGTATGAAACTGTATATTTTATGAATTGCAATAGTAGATATTTTGAATCAGTATTGGAATGTTTTTAAATCAAATAAAATAATTTCAATCCTGACACCTATTGTCTGAAACTCATAAAGTTACCTTTTCCTTAAATGATCTGTCCCTAACCTCAAGAAGGAAATCCTATCACAACCAACAGACCACAAGTGCATTCAGCAGGAGCACAATTACTCCTTTATTGCATTAATTGCATTAGGCACCCATTAACTGCATCAGGCACCCAGGGCTAAACATTTCTATTCTAGCAACTGTAACTCGAATACATTGATTCTGCATAGGACTATATGGTCCACAGATGGATTCATCCTGTTATACAAGGACAAATGTATGACAAGCACAACTCTGGGAATCCTGAAATATAGGCTTTGAGTCCTACAAGGTAGATAGAGTGGCAGGTTGATCTCAGAACTACGTTCCCTGAGCACTTCAAATATCAGGTTTCATTAGCCCTTAACCACCAAAGTGACTATCACTGTCAGTTACGCGGACATTAACTTAGGGGCCGTTGTCACTGGGTGACGTGAAGGACCCCGTCTGCCTTTATTTTTAACATTTTAACATATTTTTTAAAGATTTTTGTTTATTCGACACAGAGAGACACAGTGAGAGAGGGAACACAAGCAGGGGGAGTGGTAGAGGGAGAAGCAGGCTTCCCGCGGAGCAGGGAGCCCGATGTGGGGCTCCATCCCAGGAGCTGGGATCATGACCTGAGCCGAAGGCAGACACTTAATGACCGAGCCACCCAGGCGCCCCTGCCTTTATTAGCTTAGCTGATGCCCCAGGAATTATTCCTCCTTCCTGTGTGGCTCTGACAATGGACCGAGATCAAACCCAGAAGCAGCACCTTTTCTAACATAACCACTTACCCAGACTTCTGACAGCCAGGTTTTCATGGCAGACTCTGCCTCTCTGGTTGGAAAGAAACCACCACCTCCTTCCCGCTGTGAGAACGGTGGGCAGACATGAAGGTCATACCAGCCAGTGCAGGTGAGGAGAGGAGGCAGCCAGATCATGAGATATGGGTTCAGGATCCTGTGACCTCACCTCCCCCCTCAGGACCACACTTGTCATTTCTCCCACAGCAGCAATCAGAGTGCGGGCTGGGAAGGAGAATGTTTCCGGAAACCTTTTTCCAGTTGCTAATTTAAAACAAACAAACAAACAAACAAAACAATTACACGTTTCCTTTCAGTGTCTCCCAAGGGAGCTCTGGAGTGTTTGAGAAAGGCTCTTTCTCCGTGATCCCTACAGGCAGATGCTAGCAAATGTTGGTGCATTTGAAGACCACTATCCGCAACACTGGAACGACGTGGGCACGAAACTCTGGGGTCTGACAGGTGAGGAGGCACATGTGTCTCCCTGCATTCGCAGAGAACTTCCATACGAAGTCATTCAGCCAAGAAAACATGTTCTTTCCTTCTCTTCAGACTGTTGTGTGCACCAACAGGTAAGTGATGAGCAGAGACAAAAATGAGACAGGCATCACCTGAGGATTTCCGGACAGACGCAAGCAAAAGCAATCCATGACACTGATATTTCACGTTAGAAATCACCGGACTTATCTGCAACAACTCTGTCCCAATGTTGTCTTCTGCATAATTCAATGCCAATTAATATGGGTGTTTTATAGGAAAGTGAACAGCAATACTGACCCCCACTCATGATAGGAAGTAGCAACAGAACAATGTCCATGGAAAAAGGAGGGAAGGCTCAGAAGAGCCCCTCACAGATAAAAGCATGAGGGTCAAACTTGTATGTATGGTGATTAACATAACAATAAAAAATTTAAAGAAGAGGGTGAAACTTTTTTTTTTTAAAAGATTTTTATTTATTTATTTGACAGAGAGAGACACAGCGAGAGAGGGAACACAAGCAGGGAGGGTGGGAGAGGGAGAAGCAGGCTTCCCACTGAGGAGGGAGCCCGATGTGGGACTCGATCCCAGGACCCTGGGATCACGACCCGAGCCGAAGGCAAACGCCCAATGACTGAGCCACCCAGACGCCCGAGGGTCAAACTTGTAAGAGGCAGACTGCACTACTTTTTTTTAAATTTTTTATTGTTATGTTAATCACCATACATTACATCATTAGTTTTTGATGTAGTGTTCCATGATTCATTGTTTGTGCATAACACCCAGTGCTCCATGCAGAATGTGCCCTCTTTAATACCCATCACCAGGCTAACCCATCCCCCCAACCCCCTCCCCTCTAGAACCCTCAGTTTGTTTTTCAGAGTCCATCGTCTCTCATGGTTCGTCTCCCCCTCTGACTTACTCCCCTTCATTCTTCCCCTCCTGCTATCTTCTTTTTTTTTCTTAACATATGTTGCATTATTTGTTTCAGAGGTACAGATCTGTACTACTTTTAACCACCAGTTAACCCAATGCAACTTACTCTAATCAAGAGCAGTGAAGGATTACCATAGTTCTCGCCACTTGATTTTTCTCCCCAGAATGGTTAACAGTAAGCACTGGTTGAAATCTCACTGAGCAGAATGTCAACCATCCCTGAAATAACTAATACATTTGCCAAGTGGCCATTGGGCAGTTTGTAATTTTACCTAAGAGAGAGTTCAGAGAGCTGGTTCTGACTTAGGTGAGTGGTCTGAAGATGATTAGACACAAAAACATTCCCTGACGTTTTCCCTCATTCTGAGGAAAAGACAGCGTAAGGTTCAATAAATATTACACTTTCAAGGACAGTAAAATGTATTAGGGCATCAACAAAGGCATACATAGTTATGCTTGGGTGCTCTATTTATATCATACGTAAGTCGCGTATCTTTCTCAATGAGAGTCATGGTGAGTCAGAAGTGTACTTCTCAAAAATTTAGTGTATACTCCCAGAAACTGGAGAGCTTGTTAAAATACAGGCTCTGATTCCGTTCTGGAGTGGTGCCTGAGTTTCTGCATTTCTGACAAGTTCACCAAGTGTTGCCAGTGCCTCTGGTCCAAGGGCTGTACTTTTTCTTAAGATTTTTTATTTTTTATTTTTTTCCAAAGATTTTATTTATTTATTTGAGAGAGAGCACGAGAGGGAAGAGGGTCAGAGGGAGAAGCAGACCCCCTGCCGAGCAGGGAGCCCGATGCGGGACTCGATCTCGGGACTCCAGGATCCTGACCTGAGCCAAAGGCAGTCACTTACCCAACTGAGCCACCCAGGTGCCCCTAAGGGCTTCACTTCTGAATAGCAAAGAGGTAAAATGTTGAGGGAAATAATCGTGTGTGGCTTAGAACAGTGGAAATTATAGATTCTAATGTATGGCCACAATCTTTTTTTAATATTTCCCTAGGTATTATTCAAAGAGCTTTCATAAATTAATGCATAAACCACAAAAATAATCTATGAGAGTATTATTCTTCCACTTTTGAGACTATTCTGTCAAACATCCAGTAAAAGGAAGGGCATGGGTTTTAACCCCGTTTGTGAGATACAGATTTTATCCAAAAGGAACACACTGGTCAATGTACAGAAAGATGCAAAAAGAATATTCATGACAGGTTTTCTAAGTGAGAGGAGTAACATAAAGAAGGTAACATCACAGAACTCATCTAGTAACTTTTACATTTTATGTACATATTGATACATTTACAAGGTAATTATATACACTTTAAAAGGTAGTGTAGAAAATTTTTCATTGTGACTGCAATCTTAAAATATTTTCAGGGGCACCTGGGTGGCTCAGTTGTTAAGTGTCTGCTTTCAGCTCAGGTCAGGGTCCCAGGGTCCTGGGATCAAGCCCCGCATTGGG